AAAGAAGAAGAGAGAAAAAAAAAAAAAAAAAAAAAAAAAAAAAAAAAAAAAAAGAAAGAAAGAAATAAACCAACAAAAAACAAAACAAGGTATTGCCTTAAGGCAGTTACGGGTCTGGGATGCCGTTCACCTTACTAAACCCTCAGACGGCACACGTAACTTTTTTTTTTTAAAGAAAATTTCTCTAAGTGCATGATGCCACTGCTGCATTTCAGTCGCGTTTGCCGTCCGTTTCCCTGTGATGCTTGACTTCCAGACTCTTCCTCGTCAAAGTGTAGCAATAAAGCAGTTTGTCTCTTATCTCGGCGCATTCACTCTTTGCATGCTGTAGCCTGCTGGGTCCTAAGTTGACCTGATGGTGTTTGTAGCTAATAGAGTGTGCGTAGCTAGCCACACTGGTCTTTATCTCTGTGGAGTTGAAGCATGACTTAGAGAACTTTTGTTTCAGTTTGGTGTGATTCCTCTTTTCTCTCTGAATTTTTTATTTTATTTTTTTTTTAAAAGAAAACCTTTTTTTCTGTTTATGAAGACATTTATGCTCCTGTTAAAATGTTCTATTCTGCTATTTTTATTCAACTCAAAACCGTCTCGGTTGAGAAAAGAAAATGTGTGCGTATATGAGGAGACACCCAAACCTCTGGTTCTGGCTTCGTCATGCAAACCCAGATGATTTATTTTATAGTATAGCACTCACAGTACGGCTTACCACAGCCATTAACTCTCCTGTAATCAGTTTTTGCATGCAATGCCTGCAAGCCTGCGGCTCATACATGCATGCTTTGATGAAACACGGATGCAGGCCAAGCAGCACACACGCCGAGGCTCTTTTTTTAATGTCGTCCTCATGCATGCGCTAACAGTAGCGGTTCCTCTTGAATGTAAGGTGCTTTATTGACACGTCTTCTTTATAAGCTCGGTGTGTGAATCTTAATGAGGATGTATTTCAGGATAGATACCAGGCCGAAGCAGATCGGTTTGGAAGGGCAGGGAGGCGAGGGGGTTCCTCCTCCTAGACCTCCTCCCTGCTTTTGCTGTTTTAAAAAAGGTAGCTGTTTCTTTCAAACGTGCCAACCTATTTTCATAAACATATCAAACTTTTCGTGTCGAGCTGTAGCACAACTGAATGCGTGTGGCTACGGTGCTCGTGGGATCTTTTTTTTGTGTGTTGAATGCCTGTATTTTTACTATTTTAACTGTTCCTGGACAGTTTTTTTTTTTTTTAAACTGAAAACAAAGGCAAGTGTCAATTTTGGAGCATTTAAATGACAAAGGTGTTGTACTTATCTTTAACATAGATTAAATATCTAGTATCTCAGATGCTTTCTTTGAGCTTTGAAATGAGGATTTTTATAAAGTTGCTTTAAAAACGTTGATGGAAAGTTATTGGAAATTATTTGTGCATAATATTTTTCCTGTAAATTGGATATTTTCATACTGTATGATACGGGTTTTAGTTGTTATATGTAGGTATTACCTGCTGATATTGTCTATTTCTGAGATATATTCTAAATTATTTGATATTTGTCAGGTTCCTTTTGTTGAAGATGTATTTATGGAAATGTTTTATGTGAATGTACATTTTGTTAAAGATGATATTTTATACTAAGTGTTTGCACTGCGAGATTATTGACGTATTATAAAGATTATAAAAATAAAGCCAGCAGGGTTGTTGTCTCCTGCAGTACGAACACACCTGTGCTCATTTTTACCCACAGAGTTCCCACAGAGAGGCTATAGAACGTTGTTCAGCATTACGTAAAGTCAGAAGAAAACAAGTA